GGGAAGGGGGAGGAAATCAGAATGATTGCTAATTGGTTTTGGTTTCTTTTTGGTGTGATGAAAATGTTCTAAAAGTGATTGTGGTAATGGTTGCACAACTCTGAATGTACAAAAACCATTCAATTGCGCACATAAAATGCATGAATTGTATGTGAATTATTTCTCAAGACAGCCATTGTAGTTTTTTAAATGATACCAGTGTTACTCATCCTTATTAGGAAGTAGTATAGAGCTCTGAAGTAAGAACATCTGATGTCAAATTTTGGTTCTATCATTTACTCCCTGTGTGCCCTCTTTTTTTTAAAGATTTTTTTAAAAACTTTTTTTTAACTTTATGTATTTATTTTGAGAGAGAGAGAGAGCATGAGCAGGGGAGGGGCAGAGAAAGAGGGAGAGAGAATCCCAAGCAGGTTTTGCGCTGTCAGCACATATGACTGGAACTCATGAACTGATTCAGATCATGACCTGAGCTGAAATCAAGAGTCTGAAGCTTAACCTGCTGAGCTATGCAGGTGCCCTTACCTGTGTGACTTCTAAGTCTCAGTTTCTTCATTTGCAAAGTGGATATTATAATCTAGGGGTTGTTAGGATCAAATGAGATCCCGCACATGGAACAGTTAGCAAACACCTAAAAAATAATTAGCAAATGTCTGGTATTATTATTATTAGATTTTCAGCTGTTATTTGCAGAATAATTAAAACTCTTTTGACTATAACAGCCATTTGAAATGGGTCATTGTCAGAAAATTATTTTACTCTTCAAAATAAAATTTCTTCTAATATTTGTGGCAAAGTTTTTACCTCTTTTCTTTTTAATATTTTTATTTATTTCTAGGAGAGAGAGAGAGAGAGAGAGAGAGAGAGAGACAGCCAGCGTGAGCAGGGGAGGGTCAGAGAGAGAGGGAGATACAGACTCTGAAACAGGCTCCAGACTCTGAGCTGGCAGTCAGCACAGAGCCCGACGCGGGGCTCGATCCCACGAACCGCGAGATCATGACCTAAGCTTAACCGACTAAGCCACCCAGGCGCCCCTACCTCTTTTTTTTTTAAATCTTATTTATTTAAGTAATCTCTACATCCCGCTTGGGGTTTGAACTCACGATCCTGAGATCAAGATTTGCATGCTCCTCTGACCAAGCCAGCCCAGTACCCCTGATTTCTCCTTTTTTTAGGACAGATTCATGTGGCAAATTGTTGTTATTCTGTGGTCAAAGAATCAAAGTATATCAAGCCCTCCTCACTCCAAAATATACACCTGTATCCCCCCAAAATTGGAACATATTTCTCTTACTTTTTTCAAATCCACTCTAACAAACAGATGGTTATATCTACATTTGAATAGGAGTATTTCCCAATATAAACTAGACTGTTAATATTCCTGATCTTTATATTTTGGAAAGCTATTTTAAAATTCATTTGTTTAAGGGGTGCCTACGGACGTCTGGGTGGCTCAGTCGGTTAAGCGTCCGACTTCGGCTCAGGTCATGATCTCACAGTTTGTGGGTTCGAGCCCCGCATCAGGCTCTGTGCTGACNGTGTAAATTTTATAGTACATTGGTTACATCTTAAAAAAAAAAAAATAAATAAAACACTAAAAAAAAAAAAAAAAAAAAAAAAAAGGAGGGGGTGCCTGGGTGGCTCAGTTGAACATCTGACTCTTGGTTTAAGCTCAGGTTGTGATCTTATGGTTCATGGGTTTGAACCCTTCATTGGGCTCCATGCTGACACTGCAGAGCCCACTTGGGATTGTCTCTCTGCCTTTCTTGGCCCCCACCCCCTTTCTCTTTCTCAAAATAAACAAATGAAGAGAAAAAAATTAAAGTTCATTTGCTTAAAATGTATTAAGTTTCCTTGCAGGTATTTAAACGGAGATAAATGCAGACATGAACAACAAATTTAGTTTTAAAACTTGTATAGATATCTTTAGCTTTATAATGTGTTTGAACTTTGTGAAAATGGACATTGAAAATTATGCTGTATACATTCTCTGATTTGCTTCTTTCTTGCAACACTTTTTCAGATTCATTCATGTTGATGGGTTCAACTGCATTCATTTTGACTGCTGCATAGTATTCTATTATATCATTTTAATATTATTGATCTGTTCTCCTAATGCATTTTTGGGTTTTTTATATAAGGAAGAATGTAGTTATAAACATTAGTATATGTATTTTTTGGTGTATCCAGTGTGATGGAATTATTGATAGGAGATTTAGGAATTTTAATACACTTTGATTCTTAAAATTCAAAGGACTATATAAGTTATATAAAATATAAATGATTATGTTTAAAGGGGTCCCTTTAAGTTATTTGCAGTGATTTTTTAATACAATTTAAAATTTTTTAATGATATAAAAGGTCTAGAAACTATAGAAATGGGAACCATTACCTATAATTTTTAAGTATTTGTTTTATACATACATGTTTTGGCCAGGTTATAATTATAGGACTTAGATTTGTTTCCTGCTATTGGTGCACATTTTACTACATATGAAACATCATAGGTTTCTTATGTCAATTATTAACAGCTGGATATTACTTACATTAGGGAGATAGACTATAATTTTCTTAGCCATTCCCTTCTTGTTGAAAGCTTATTTAGATTGTTTCTGGTATTTCATTGTAAGTAATACTGTAATGAACATGTGTGCGACTATGATTCTTTCCAGGGACGGCCAAGGGAAAGCATGAGAGTAGCAGCCTGGAAACGATTAGGAAATATTTTTTGATCTAATAGAGGAATTAAAACTATTGACTGCCTGATTTACATTAGGCAGTCTGTGGTATACGCTCGACATGTTTTCTCATCTAACCCTCAAATAATCAGTGATTTCAAATGAGTAATATGCCCATCATTATATTTACCTGATTGTATTATAATGATCGGTTAAGAATTACATTTTATTTGAATCTTAGGGATGTTTTTAGTTCCTGGCACATAGTGAGACTCACTAGGTGTTATCTACTGAAATGAATGTTTCTGAGTTTTGCCTAGGGTTATCCCTGGACTCAACCAATCAGCATTATCTTCTCTGCTACCTTTGTTTCTTTTTTTTTTTTTTTTTTTTTTTTAAATAGTTTATTGTCAAATTAGTTTCCACATAACACTCAGTGCTCATCCCCATAAGTGTCCTCCTCTATGCCCATCCCCCCCCCCCCCCCCCCCCCCCCCCCCGCTACCTTTCTTTCTTGAGCCAAGTTTTACAGATCTCTGTGAGAGGGGATTGGTAATAAACTGATTCCAGGGTTGTGGCCTGAGTCACTATTAGGCACTATTTAGACCACATCTCTGATTTTAAACTTTTGTGTATCTCTTTTTGTCAGTTATCTCTGCCAGAAATGTTCTACCAAGAGGAAGTTTTAATTCCATTTGTATTAATGGATGCTTTACTTACTACTGAAATGAATGTTTAAAATTACTAGATGTTATTTATTCATTTGCAGTTTAGTTCTTTCTCTGGTTATTTGGAATATTCACAGTGAGATACATTAGAACCACTCTGTAGCTTTTTTTCAGTGGAGGGAGGAAGAACTATTCTTAACAACCTACAAAACTGGAGACTACCTAAATGCCCACTAAGCATTCTAGAATTCATTCACTCTACACCTCTGTATTTCTACAGCACTTACTAACAGTTTCATTCATTTTAAACTAGTTCGCTTTTAATAAGTCAGGCAGAGAAGGATAGATACCATATGTTTGCACGTATAGGTGGATTAGGAGGAATTTAACAGAGGACCGTGGGGGAGAAGAAGGGCGGAAATGGTGGGGGAGAGGGAGAGAGGCAAACCATGAGAGACTCTTGAATGCTGAGAACAAACTGAGGGCTGATGGGGGTGAGGGAGAGGGTAAGGGGGGGTGATGGGCACTTGTTGGGATCAGCACTGGGTGTTATATATGGAAACCAACTTGACAATAAACTATTTAAGAAAATAAACTAATTAAATTTAAAAAATAAACTAGTCGCTTTTGCCTTTATATTTTGCCATAAACACCGATTTTCATCATAAATTATTAAGAGTTCTGTACTTCATCTTTCTATGTTGATAACATGGAAAGTCTTTGGTTTTATACCCCTCTTTTTGCATTGCTGGAGTATACTCTGAGTAACAAATTTAAAATGTAAGAATATTGGATAGATTAAAACACACATATTTCTTATACGTAGACTGGAAAAAATATACAATTTTGGAATGCCATATAGTGAGAGATCCTCAGCTAGAAAAGAAAGAGAAGCTGCTTTCAAGTTCTTCTGTTGCTGTATTAGTTGACGATCAGAAGTCAATTGCAGGAGCATCTATAAGTCAGGCTTATTTTGGTGGTTGTGACTTACCAGAGAGGAATAAAGAAGTAACATGAAATATAACTGTTTCAAAGGAATTGAATTAAGTAAGATCTTTTTTAGCTTTCCTAAATGTCCTCTCATAATTACTACTTCAACTATGGGATATCTTATTTTGAAAGTTTATATTTTTTGTATTTGTGGAAAGTGTGTATCTAAGTAAGGTATGATGAGAAAACCGTTTCTATTCTGGTTTTCTGTAATTCATAGATTACTTACAATTTTTTAATTTTAATTCACACTGTGCAGCTTCTTTGTGCAACACTTTGCCCTCACAGGTATTTTTGCAAAGTTTTAAATTTGAATTTTAGTACTATATTTTCTTACTGCTTTACTGTAAACAGCTTTACTAATTTTGCTAGTATTTTCTCATAGCTCAGTTGTTTGTTTGAAGCCCTTTTCCTAACTTTGCAGTGGGTTAATGGTGTTCTTTAAAAAAAAAAAAAAATCCTCTGGGGAACTAGAATAGGGTGTGTTATTATATATTTTTAGTCATATTAAATTCTATTAATAAATATAATGAGTTATTTTTTAATTAGTTTTTCAAAACTGATCTAGCTATTGTTGAAAATTCAGTATTTCCACTGTAATGGTCTTTACTACATTTTTTAAGTAAGATTTTAATATATTAAATACCTTTTTTTTCCCCTTCTGTAGGCATGGCTGATGGCAAGCATTGTACTTTTCCACATCTGCCTGGCAAAACCTTTGTCTATAATGCTTCTGAAGATAGACTGGAATTGTGTGTGGATGCCGCAGGACATTTCCCCATCGGTCCTGATGTTGAAGATTTAGTTAAAGAGGCTGTAAGTCAGGTTCGAGCAGAGGCCACTACAAGAAGCAGAGAATCCAGTCCCTCACATGGGCTATTGAAACTAGGTAGTGGTGGTGTAGTGAAAAAGAAATCCGAGCAGCTTCATAATGTAACTGCCTTTCAGGGAAAAGGGCATTCTCTAGGAACTGCATCCAGTAACCCACACCTTGACTCAAGAGCTAGGGAAGCCCCAGTTGTAAGGAAGCATAACACAGGGACAGACTTTAGTAGTAGCTCCATTAAAATGGAGCCTCCAGTATTTCCAGCTGCTCCTAGTAATAGTGAGCTTATTCGAATAGCTCCTGGAGTAGTTACAATGAGAGACAGCAGGCAGCTCGATCCCGATTTGGTTGAGGCCCAGCGAAAAAAATTGCAGGAAATGGTTTCTTCTATCCAGGCTTCAATGGACAAGCACTTGCGGGATCAAAGTGCAGAGCAGTCACCATCTGATCTTCCTCAAAGGAAAGTAGAAGTTGTGAGTTCTTCCGTGAAGTCTGGGAGTCTTCAGACTGACTTACCTGAATCTTTTTCCTTAACTGGTGGCACTGAAAATCTGAATATAGGGACAACTGATAGCTGTGTGGCAGAGGCACTGGGGGCAGCATTGGTCACAAGGTCAAAAGCACAAAAGGGAAATTCAGTGGAGGAGCCTGAAGAGATGGATAGCCAAGATGCTGAGATGACAAACGCAGCTGAGCCCATGGATCACTCTTGATTTAATTAGAGGCTAATAGTAAAGGCAGAATGTTTATTGTGAATATGTAACATTTGTCGGCTGGGCCACATAACTTGATTAGTCATAAAAAATCTTGTACGTATATAATTCAAAGATTATATCTTGTTATTCAGTGCATGACAGCAAGTGTGTGATTGGCAATAGCTTTTAATATACCGCTGCCCAGGCTGGCTCTGAATTCCTATAAATTAGTTATTAGATCTGCTGAGATGAGTTTTCCATACACGTGGTTCATTGGAAGTTTTTTGTAACTTTAATTCCATGAAAGTCTTAATGGTTCAAACATGAAAATTCTCTTGCTAAAGTTTGATTTCTGAAAAGGATAGAACTGGGAGGTGGGGGATGAGATTTTGCTAATGTTGATGTCATCAAGGTAACCATTCCACATATTTATTAGAGTGTCAAAAGGTTTATGTAAATTTGAAGGTTATCTGAACTAAATTGTATCTTAAAATCCATAGAAGGATTTATTAGATCCAGGGATCCCGACATTTCCGTGAACGTAAACACATTCATAGAGATATGTCTTCTTGGTGAAAAATATCTTGAGAATAGAGTGTAATGATATAACATTTTGCTGATTTAAGCAAGGCTGGGGGAAAATACCTATTCTAGATGGATAAAGTCAATGTGATTCAGTAATGTTGCTGTCTGAGCCAACACAGCCAATTGTGTGCTCTGTTGTTGATAATATGTTAGTTACCATTATTTTTTTAATCCTGGCCTGGTCAAGTACCACTGAATTTTTTTTTTCTTTAATCTTGCAGAAAAGTTGATTGCAAAGTGTGGTAGAAAATATAAAAATAATGGTAGCAGTAGTTAATCTCTAATTTTCAGAGTTTGTCAGATTCACAGAGAATTTATATATAAGAATTTATCTTTATGAATGAGTTACATTGTTCTACAATTTTGATCAATGGTATTTAAGCTTGTATATGCTAAGTGTCTTTGAGCCCCTTTGAACCAAAAATGTTTCCTTTTTTTCCGTAGCATCCATAAAATATATTTGTTGGTTTCACTTGGATTTGGATGCAAATTTTACTGCATCATACCCTGATCAACTGGGCATTTGCTTAAATAGTGTATTCATCAAATCTTTAGTGCCAGTTTCCTCAAAAAGCAGCTTTCATGCTTATTATACCTTAAGGACAAAGAATGTTTATCCTGAGATTGGTATTGCACTATTTTATCCTATTCTGCAAATCTGTATTCTGAAATGTACATTTCAATCCATCTTTTTCCTTTGTTCACTGAAATTAAGTTGAATTTGAATGGATGAAAGACAAAATGTATGTTAATACAATCTCTTATCTAGAGCATTCAAAGCCTGGCTGTCTCTGTTTGCATATGTAACAGATGCAGAACTATGTTTGCAGTCTAAGAAACTGTTCATCAGAAAGTACATTATCAGGTGATTCAAAATGTCAACCTGTTGATTCATTAAGGAATATATATACAGTACTTTCACTTGTGTTTCCAAAGAAGAGAGGTTTTGGATTTCTTTCTATGAAAGTATTTCTGACTTAATCCACTTACTGAACTACTCCATTTTGAATAAGGAGAAAATGGAGAACCTAGACATTTTGCAAGTGATATCTGAGCAAGATATATATATTTGGGTTAGTTTTATCACATTACATTTTAAACCATATTTTATCTCTGTTCTTCTAAATTTAGTTTCAATTGTCTTAATATCTAAAGAGCAGGAAAATTTAGGACTTTTATATTGTGTGCTAGTTTTGCATAAAGAACTGCAGCTACCAAATAATTATTTAGTTAATATAGGTGGCTTCCGTGTATTAAACTAAAAATGACAACTACCACTAACCACTATAATAATTTTTAGCTCTTTTAGCCACTGAAACTGACCTTTTCTTATTAGTTTAAATACAGGAAAACTGTTTAACAAGCAGATGCACCGCTTCCAGGTAAATGATGTACTCACCTTTTCTTTAACAAATATTTTCCTCACCTGTGGCTTGGCATGTTTAGTTAATAACTGAGAAATACACTCTCATAGCATAAAGTAAAAATGTCAGAAATAAATTTTATCATCCTATTATATTAAATATTTGCATTTAGTCAAATTAGAATGCACCTGTGAACATTAGAAGAAGGGCTTTAAACTCTGATAACACTACTAATTTCTCTTGCCACAGCAATGCTATTTAGAAGCTGGTTAGGTATGAATATTATAATAATACTGTGGGTTCTCCCTCGATAAAGAATAAAAGGCTTGATTTTTGAGAATGGTCAGGTTTTCTGAAATTATATTAAATCTGCTGAAATTTGGATGGAGTAAATTAGTAGCTTTTGAGAAGTGGGCCAGATATCATCTTCACAGAGAAGTTTTAGAACGAATTTAAGTGCCTAATTTTCATCCTTTGTCCTTCCATATGGTTATCATAATCAAATACATGACTGTAGAACTCTTATTTTTTAGTACTGCCATTTGGGATCACCACAGCTTTGAATTCCAGCTAGAGATCATAAACCGTTAAAATGTCATTTTTAGCCCTAGACGTAACATAACTGTTAACTATTTTTTTTAGCCCTAGATGTAACATAACCATAACCCAATCTTATAATTAAGTTCTGTTTGTGATGTTTCACTGAAACTTGAAGTAGAATTGTAAATTTTTCTCTTCAGTAATAACATTTTATAGGTAGTCATACCAAGTTTGAATTGATGACCAAAAGTCCAAGTAGAGTTGAAGATGGTGTGTGTTTATAATGAGAAACTGGTTGATATTGAAGAAGACAAGACACTGCCATATATTATGAACTAGAATATAATGAACTCTAAGGGAATGGTTACTCAGGAACTAGTTAAAAAGTAAGCCCAAGGTCTGTCTATTTTTTCTTCTTTCACTGTGTTTCAAGTATTTTATTGGAAAATTTAGGATGAAGACCTGAGAAATTCAGCAAATGCTATTGACTGTGAATTTTGCTTTATATCTTCTGACGATTTTTAGTTTGGTTTTTACAGTCAAGCCTACTGCTTGCAATTAAGACATCAATCTGAAATGCATCTGTGAATCCCAGCCACAGGTCCTTATTGCCATTCTTTTTAAGTATCTAACTTGATTTGAAATGAGCAGACTTTTGTGTATGGTCTTTTACCTCAGGGAAGATCACTTGCTAGCAACTCATATATTACTAATGACAGGTTTTTGAGAATTGTACTGATAACACATGTTTGCTACTAAATGCAAAATGTATAACAGTATTACTTTGTGGAGTTGCCTACTAATACTGGCTGCTAGTGAACATTTCCTTAAAAATTTAGAACTCACTAATGACTAATCTTTAGGTAGGAAGTAAACTCGCTTCTGTCATTAATTATGCTTTGGTCAATATAGTGACAATATCTAATACGGTGTTTATTTCAAAATATCAGTACAGTTTTGTCTTCATTTTTTTCAATAGGAATTCCAGTTGGCCCACACTTAAAATACTGCAGAGTAGACTTTGAGAGTTTCATGGTTTCCAAAACAAGATCTCCATATTAAGATTTTCCTAAAGGCCTTTGCAAAGTTGAATCAAACTGCACTCCACAGAAATTTAAAATGACCATCATAGCAGTAGTGAGATACATACTCTACATAAGTAGGGTAGATATATCCTACAGTTCAAGGTTATCATATAATTTAACAAAATTGTACATTCTCAAGGCTCTTCACAATATAAGAAATTAATTTCTAAACCAGAACTGTTCAGTTGAAAACATACCACAGTAGAATGTTTACTTAAGAAATAAAATTAACAGAGCGGAGCTATTGTAAGATTTATAGTTAATTGTAAGTTCTGCCATTCTTAATAATTCTTTGAGATACTGTGTTTCAATTCATATTTAATGATAATTAAATCGTGGGAATTTTAACGTTTGTTCCAAAATAGAAGAAATTGTAAAAATTGTGAATTATTGGAGAAAATGCCATTACTTGTATATCTGACATTTAATTTTTTAAATTATGGAGTCTACATGCTTTTGTAGTATAATACTAATATGATGATTATTCTCTTGTAAAAGAAAAGGAAAATTAGTAAAAAAAAAAAGTTTTAGTCGATATTATCTGCTTGTGAGTATCAATTACTTAGTATTTAAAATTTGAAGGTATTGCATATTTTTTCTTTAGAATGCACAAGTCCCTGAGCCTTTTATGCCTATGATAAGGCAATAAAAGACTGAAAAGGCTACCAATATTTTCAGGTTTATTTGACTCTAAGAATTAGTGCCAAGCTGGAGAGTCTACTTTTTTCGAGAGAGATCCTCTTTAGACTATGTAAAAATAAGTGGTAATGTAAATATTTAGAAAAATCACATAGCAAGTGCTTTAAATGCTCAATTAAATAGTATAAATGTTCTGTCATCCCTAAGGCACTGGCTGTTACCCATTATTTTCTGATTTTGTGGTTGCTGTACATATTACATTTGAATAATAAATAATTGGTAATAGTGTATTATAACTATATAGTGTTCTACAGCACACCTCACTGTACAGTATTTGAAGTTTTCTTTTATATTAATAAAACTATAAGTTAATACATACTGATTTTCCCCGCAACTTCTCCACAGTAGCTTTTTAAAATAATTTTTTATTCTTTAGTTTCCTGGAATTATACTTTAATAATATAATGCATGAAAATATAGTTCAGTTTTATAAAGGAATTCTTATTGTAATAAAGGTCTTTTTTAAACTACTTTTAGTGGGACATCATATAGGGACAGAAGTTTCCCCCCTTGATGTGATCTCGATGCAAATGAAATGGACTCAATTAGAAAAGAATAAGCAAAATTTCTTTAGACATTTTACATAATTGAGTTATAGAATACTTACTATCTAAAGACAAAACAGACATGTTCTAATAAAGGCAGAACTTAGTTTTGTGCTGTTTTTTTAAAAAAATACTAGTTAGACATAATGAGGAAGTGAAGAGATAAAAAAAAATAGTAGTGACATTTGTATAGCTTAGCAATCAACATGACTTACGTTCACTTTTAAGTTTTAATATGTATGTTTAATATCCAGTTTGTTAGACCTGTTTAACTTAGAGCAGAGTCTCAGACACTAGACTTCTAGAACTGCTTACGGTATGATCTCTCTGTGCTTCATTTTCCTCTCTAGGAGGAGGAGGAGGACATCTCCTGGGGTGGTTGTGAAGATTAAATGAGTTAATACTTATCAGATGATTGGAATAGTACCTGACATACAGTAAATACTCAAATGTTTACTATTACTGTTATTTACATATCACCATAATTCAGTAGAGTTCAGTTGCCATTTAAAAGGGATAAGTCCTGATACACAGGGCACACGTCATTTACATAGTTTGTTTTGTTAGGTTAAAACCTGCTTTATTTGTGATATATGGTTAATGGGCTAAAAACCGAATGGTTTGTATGTTCGAATATTTATGCAAGAGCTTTGTGACCACACGCAATCCTGAAAACCTGGAGAACCGACCGTCTGTGTTTCTGACTAACTTGTTCTGTGACCTGAGGCAAGTCATGGAGCCTTTCAAGGCCTCCATTCCTTCTATAATCTTGGTTCTCCAGTCGTTACCCTCTTGTTCTGCTGGCCGTGTCTTCCCGGGCTCACTTGCTGATGCTGTAGTGCTGATGGGACAAGTGACATTGGCGTGGGCTGCAAGTAAACTAAACAGTTAGCTTTGCTTTATGCTTTGGCTGGCTACACTTGTCCCAAACTTGGACTTGAGGTCTTGTACATGCATCCCACTGGTCACGTACCGTATAGTTTGAAGCTCTCAAATACTTAAGTGAATAAAGTAAGATAAACCTCCGACTCATGACAGTTCAATATCGATTTTATTTTTATTGACTGGCTTTTTCAGACCCCAGTAACTGCAATTATGACTGCGTAGCTGATTGTTTCTAATCATTAAAAATGTATACAGAAAAACGAACTAAGTCTTTAATTGATTTTCTAAACTGTATATGGTATACTGAGATGAAAAAACTTCCCAGGTTCTTTAAACCTGTACTCTTTCCTTGCTAGAACTGAACCGTTTGTCACACTACATGCATAAACCTTTATCTAAAAACAAATTGTGTGGGAATCTGGGAGGATTATTCCTGTTTGCCAGTTCCATGTATAGAAAGAAACATGCATAGTATGAGGTCTCCCTGTAAAATAATGACTTCTTATATTTGATTAATGGAATCAGCATTATACTTGAATCATTCATTCACTTAATCTGTTTATTAAGACTAATCAAAAGCCAAGCTTCTGTTCTAGAAACTGGGGAAACAGTTCTAAAGGAGACAAAGCACATGTAGAAGCTTACATCCCAGTGATGGATACAAGCAATAAACACATAACTATCCCTTAAGGACAGTGTCCCTATATCCAGACAATAGGTGAAACACAACATGTAAAATAAGATTAACCTTCAAAATAGCTCTTTGTAGTTGGGTAACATCATTGTCTTCATCTTTCAGGAAACAGGCTCAGGTAGGTTAGCTTAGTTTACCCAAAGTCCTGGACTTAGTAGGTGGCCAAGTACAATCTGTTGGTCACCTAAGTCTATATAAACATCTGTTAAACCTAACTCGTTTTCAGGTACACCAACCTGGTGTGAAATGATTTCAATGTGTGTACTACCTGGCTTTAATTTCACTTCCTCCAATTTCCCTTCCTGAACCTCAATATTCTACCCCAAGTTCTTGGATTATGTTTCTCCAAATTGGGAGGTACTTTAGAGAAGGATTTCAGAATTTCTTAGATAATTGATCAGGGTCAATTTGAGAATCATTGGTAAGATAAAAGTCCAATTCCCTCATTGTCACTTGCATTTCCCTTAGAAAACATTTCTACGAAACCTATCGTGTGCCAGGTACTTTGCTATATGTAAGAAATAATAAAATGGTAAGAAAGACCTACTTCGTGCCGTCATATCTTTAGTGAAGGAGAGAGTCATTTAAACAAGCTCACTTGTCATAATGGGCATCGCTTGGTGGTGAGGGTTACACTACAGGAGGAACTAACCTGACCCACTAGTGGCTTAGAGAAGGCTTCCTTAGAGGTGATGTCATTCGAGACCAAAAGAATATGATGTTTACAAATCAAACTGGCAAGAATCAGTATTGCCAAAAATATTTATTAGGACAATTAATCAAACAAAATTAAGTGTGATGTTTATGTTTGCCACACTTTAGACCCCAAATCCTTCCTGTAAGAGGGTGGTGATCCAGTTGAATGGATAGGGATGAAAAAGTTTGAGAAAGCTCGTGCAAATAGGGTTCCTAAGGAAAAGGAAACTGTAACAATGAGATTCTAAATTCAATGCATAAAACCAACTTGAGAATACAAGCCTATCCTTTGAAACTAAAAGGTATCTTTACTACTGAATATGACCAGTATAAATTAGATGCATGGATGTATAACGAAAATTTTAGGAAAAAAGTAAAGCAAGAATCAACTTAGGAGCTAGAAACCCTCCCCTCAATTATTTGCTATTTTCCCACCATTACCAGGATGATAGGAAGATTTGTTCCATTTCTTCCTCTAGCTTCTCATGGCCCTGCCATGGTACTGTCATCTCTGTCTCCATTTAGTACTAGTACTGCCTAAGTGACTAGTAACGACTGTATAAAGTTGCACTTCCGATATTGCTTTTCTTTTTTTTTTTTTCCTAAAGATTTAAAAAAATGTTTTCTATTTATTTTGAGGGAGAGAGAGAGAGAGAGACTAGGGCAGGGGCAGAAAGGGAAGAGCCTGATGCGGGGCTCGAACTCAAACCGTGAGATCATGACCTGAGCCAGAATCAAAAGTCAGATGCTTAACCGACCGAGCCACCAGGTGTCCCCAGTCTTGCTTTTCAAATTAAGATTATTTCATTTTGTGATCGTATGGCAAGTGATTTGGCTTTTTTTTTTTTTTTAGTAAAAGTTATTAAATTTATTTTTGGTACAGTGAAGTGACTAGAAAAATTAAATCAATAGCTAAAGAAGTATTCTATATAAAAGTATTCTATAAAAGTTTTCATTGAAATGGGTCTTAATTGTTTTCCTTTTAAAAAAGTTATTATCAAAGCAATAAATGTATTTGGCTAAAAACAATTTCAAAACTATTTAGAAAGAAACCCAATTTCTTCATCTCAATTGCTAAATCAACTATTTCTAATTTGGTGGTTACTTCCATAACAGATCTGATCTCTTGATTTATCAACTTTAGACAGTATTTGATTCCTCCATTATGAAAGAGGAGTTCCCTTACCATTTTTAGGTTATCTTCTAACTTCATATAATATACTTAAGTCTTATTGAGCCATCAGTTTTATTTTTTAAGTTTATTTTGAGAGAGAGAGAGAAAGCATGTGGGGGAGTGGGGGGAGAGAGACAGAGAGAGAGAATGAGAATCCCAGGCAGGTTCCCACCCTCAGCACAGAGCCCCATGCAGGGCTCAAACTCACAAATCATGAGTTCTTCCCTTTCTACTTCCTTTTATTAGCTATACTATTATTGCTATGTTGCCAAGGCTTATGGTATTCAAAATATGTTTTGTACTCATAATTGCTTTAAAAGGAACCTATAGTTGAAAATAGGTGAGGTGGTCCCAAATATCAAAATGAGAAGGGTTTTCTGAGACTCCAGCTAGAAGTTGGAATTTTTCCAAGGCAGATATTAGAATTTAAATAGATTTGTGTTTTAGGGGCACCTGGGTGGCTCAGTTGGTTAAGTATCTGACTTCAGCTCATGTCATGATCTCACGGTTCATGGGTTCTGGCCCCACATCGGGTTCTGTGCTGCCAGCTCAGAGTCTGGAGCCTGTTTCCGATTCTGTGTCTCCCTCTCTCTCTGACCCTCCCCCGCTCGCACTCTGTCTCCATCTCTCTCTCACTCATAAACATTAAAAAAAAAAATTTTAAACAGGGGCGCCTGGGTGGCTTAGTCGGTTGAGCGTCCGACTTTCGCTCAGGTCACGATCTCGCGGTCCGTGGGTTCGAGCCCCACGTCGGGCTCTGTGCTGACTGCCAGCTCGGAGCCTGGAGCCTGTTTCAGTCTGTGACTCCCTCTCTCTCTGACCCTCCCCTGCTCACGCTGTCTCTCTCTCTCTCTCCTAGAAATAAATAAAACATTAAAAAAAAAAAAGACAAAAATAAGTAGAGACACAATAATTTAAAAAAAAATTTTTTTTAAACAGATTTGTGTTTTAAAAGATCTCTCAGGTGGC